GAGTTACTCAATCCCATGGACCTATGCAAGGATGGAGAATAGACAGGTTCTCAGAGACTGTCCCCTCACCAAGACAGCACATGGGACAGCTCACCTCCATGTAGACTTTTTCTGCTATGCCCAGACCAGATGGCACAAGCTCAGACAGCATCGCCAGCACTCAAATAAAAACACGGCTCTAGCTAAGCCAGCAAGGGAGCCCAGATGTCTACCACCCAATCCTGACCTATTCTAGTCCTATTCTCAGAAGCCCTGTCCCCTACATTGTCATGGAAGCATAAGTAGGGGCACTGGGGGCTTAGAACTGAACCCCACAGACTGTGTCCACCACATATATGTTCACGGCTATCTTGCCTGCTTCTTCTCCCAGAGCCAACACAAACATTTGTAAGTTTGTCCTGACCTACATGATGACTATGTGGTGAAAACTCCATGTCCCCCAACAGGTAAAGAACTTCTGCCTACTGTTACAATGCCAGAGAGTCATTCTGTTGCCGTTGGTGACTTGGTGTTGGTGACCTTGTTCTAGTGTAACCATCTGTGGTACAACCATAGTAAATGCTGGTTTAAGAAAGGTATTCTCTTTTTTTATTTTTTATTTTTTATTTTTTCATTTTTATTTATTTATTTATTTTTGGTTTTTCAATATAGGGTTTCTCTTGTTGCTTTGGAGCCTATCCTGGCACTCGCTCTGGAGACCAGGCTGGCTGAGAACTCACAGAGATCCTCCTGCCTCTACCTCCCGAGTGCTGGGATTAAAGGTGTGCGCCACCAATGCCCGACAAGAAAGGTATTCTCAACAGGTATAAGTTACTGTGGTAGTTTGAATACAATTGCCCCCATAAACTCATAGGTTGTGGCACTATTAAGAGGTGTGGCCTTGTTGCAGTAAGTATGGCCTTATTGGAGGAATTGTGTCACCGTGGAGGTGGGTTTTGAGGTTTCCTGTGCTTAAAATACTGCCAAATGTCTCAGTTCACTTCCTGTTGCCTGCAAAAGACGTAGAACTCTCACCTACCTCTCCAGCACCATGTCTGCCTGCACGCTGCCATGCCCCACCATGATGATAATGAACTGAACCTCTGAACTGTAAGTCACCCAATTAAATGTTTTTCTTTATAAGAAAAAAAAAAAAGATAGGTATTCTCAGCCGGACATGAGGGGAGGGGCATACCTTTAATCCCAGCACACGGAGACAGACAGACAGATCTCTTGAGACTAGCCTGGTCTACATACAAAGCAAGTTATAGGCCAGTCTAGACTATATAGTGTGACTCTGTGAAAGGAAGAAAGAAAGAAAGAAAGAAAGAAAGAAAGAAAAAAAAAAAGAAAGAAGGAAGGAAGGAAGGAAGAAAGGAAGGAAGGAAGGAAGGAAGGAAGGAAGGAAGGGAAGGAAGGAAGGAAGGAAGATGAAGAGAGAATGTGACATGCCAGCATGGAAATGACATGGAGCCCTCACTAGATGAAGAGCTGCAGTCACTTAAAAACTGCTGAGAGATGGAAACTTGGTCTTCCCCAGAGCTGAATGTCCAAAATGGTTATCTGGTCCCCATGCTCAGCCCCCTCAAAAAGAAAAATGCACACAAGCAACACTAACCAGACTCAGCAGTTGTCACATAGATGTCTAAGTCACTGTTCTATTACTGTGAAGAGACACCATGACAGGGCAACTCTTATGAAAGAAACCATTTAATTGGGGGCTTGCTTACAGTTTCAGAGGCTTAGTTCATTATCATTATGGTGGGGAGCCTGGCATCGTGCAAACAGGCATGGTGCTGGAGAAGTAACAGAGTTACATCACGATCCACAGACAGAGAGATTGGGCCTGGCGCAGGCTTCTGAAAACTCAAAGCCCAACCCCCAGTAGCACACTTCCTCTAACAAGGCCACACCTGTAGTCCTTCTAATCCTATCAAACAGTTCCATTTCCAGGTGACCAAGAATTCACATATAAGAGCCTGTGGGGGCCATTCTTATTCAAACCACCACACTCCACCCCTGGCCCCCATGGGCTTCTAGCCATGCCAAAACACAATGTGAGTTCAAGCCAACTTCAGAAGTCGCCATAGTCTACCATAGTCTCTCCGCTGTAACCCCTGTAAAATCAAAACCAAAAAGCAGAACCCACACTCCCAACATACAACAGCACAGAATATGCGTTACCATTCCAAAAGGGTGGAAAGGGCACACAGTGGGGAAACCCTGGACCAAAGCAAGAGCAAAACCCAGCAGGACAAACACCAAACTGCATCTCCATGTCTGATGTGAAGGCTCTCTTCAGAACTCCAGCTCCTTTCAGCTTTGTCGCCTGCAACACACCTCTCTCCGGGGTTGGCTCCACGCGCGGATTGCAGTTCACCTTTGGCAGGTGTCCCATCACTCTGGCATCTCCAATATCTTGGGGTCTCCAATAATCCAGGCTTCACCTTCACAGCTTCACAAAATGAGCTTCCGCGCAGGGATGCCCCTGACACGTGCCTGGCCTCAGCAGCTTTCCTTAGCCTTGGTGGGAAATTCCACAACCCCTGTCTTGAATTCATGACTCTAAAGCTAGAACCGCTTGGCCAAAGTTGCCAAGTTCTGTTGCCTTCTGGGGCTGCAACTCGGCCCCAAGTTCGGTTGCATTTGTATCAGCTTTCTGTTGTTGGTGACTCCTTTCACTGTCCCTCAAATCCTTTCCACAGGTTGGAAGCTTAGCTGTGTGGGATCTTGACCTTAAACTTTTTGTCTTCTTGAGCCCTGGAAGTTCTTCCTGTGTTCTACATTGCACTTCCTGGTGCTCTTTTTCTCTTCAGCTGTACGTTATGCATTTTTCTTTACTCTATTGTTCCTTGTCCTTGTAGATCTACATAAGAGTGACCACTGATAACCACATGCCACAGGCAATACTAGGCTGTCATGAAATCTCCTCTTCCAAGACCATTAATCCAAAACCCAGTTGAGCCTCTTGCAAATTTTTAGGACAAAGGCAAAAATCAGCCACATTCTTCACCAAAGTATCACAAGAACAATCTCTAGGCCACTTACTTCCCTCTGAAACTTCTTGAGCTGGCCCCACATAATTCTTGGCACTACCTACTAGGATGGTGCATTAAGACAACTTAACACCCCAACTGCTTTCCTAATCCAAAATCCACATTCTACCGACAAGCAGCATGACCCGGCCTGTCACCCCACTCCTGGCACCAATTTCTTTCTTAATCACTGTTCCACTGCTATGAAAAGCCACCATGATCAGGGCAACTCTTATAAAGAAAACATTTAATTGGGGGTTCACTTAGTTTTCAGAGGTTCAGTCCATTATCATCATGGCAGCAGGCAGGCACTGGAGCAACAGCTGAGGTGAAAGCCGTGTCTGGAACCATAGGCAGAGAGAGAGGGAGAGGAAGTGGGGGGAGGAGACAGAGCAGGGAGAGAGGGAGAGACTGGGCCTGGCATGGGCTTTTGAGACGTCAAAGCCCACCACCCCCAATGACACACTTCTTCCAACAAGGCCACACCTGCTAATTTTTCTAATCCTATCAAACAGTTTCACTCCCTGGCGATTAAGAATTCAAATATATGAGCCTATAAAGTCCATTCTTATTCAAACTGCCATAACGTAATAACAATAAGTAAAGAGTAGGAGCCCACAAAAATTGAAAGGGGGAAGAAAAGGCATAATGATATATTTTAATTAAAATTTTAAATTCAAGTTATCTCTAAAAATGAAGAAAGAAAAGAAGGAAGGGTGTTCTCTATCAAGTTGGATTTTTTTGGAATGGGGGATTTCTGGAGCAGCTTTCAGTTTGGTGTATACAGTGTGAGACCTCTCTCACACTGCCACCGGGAGTCCTGACTTCTTTCATGAAAAGAAGTGATCCACCCAGCAAGATCCCTGCTTTTGGAGTTGACAGGGACTTCAGTCTGCCACTGTGCCCCTCACTGGTGTCCCTTTGCAACCTGGCATACTGTGTCACATCTTGACACAGAACTTGAAATATTGAGGGCTGGGGATGCGGCTCAGTTTGCGGAGTGTTTCCCTAACATTCATGAAGCCACGGGTCAGCTCCTAGCACTGTATAAACTAGACTTAACAGTGCATGCCTGTCATTCCAGGCCTGGGAAGATGGAGGAGGATCAAGAATTCAAAGTCATTCTCAGTTATGTAACAGGCTTGAGATAACCTGAGCTACATGAACCCGTCTCAAAAATAAATAAATAAATAAATAAATAAATAAATAAATAAATAAATCTTGAAGTATTGTACCGTGTCACCTGATGAGCCACTGGACATAAGGTTGGTGGCCCTTGGTAACCACCGTCCACCGACTGCCCTTCTGCTACCAGTGGTTGCTGTCTGAGCCCGTTGTAGCTCCGATTCTTGGCGTCTTCAAAGGACTGAAGAACCATACATGAACACCAAAGCAGCAAGGGCTTTCATTCAGAAGATAAAGTGCACTGGAGACAGGCAGGGAGTGGCAGGGGTGAGCCAGCGTGCTCCAGAGCCCATTTATTCCTGGAGACTCTTGGAATTCCGCGAGGAAGAGAAATTGGTTGTAGGATGGGGTATGGGTGGGTTTCTGCTCTGATAAACTTTTGATTGACACATGGAAACTCAGGCCTTTTGTGCAAACACGGGATTTTTTAATCAAATGCATAGTCATTAGATGGTAAATCGGGATTTTTCTCTGAACGACATGCTAGGACATCGTTATCTTATTGTGCATACACCTAAAACCTGTTCAGACTGGACTGACTCCTTTCCTCTAGGATGTTTGTCCACCAAAGGGACAGATGGGGACACATGTGTAGTCCTTAGGGCAGAGTGACCTGTTGCTTCGTTGGGGGAGAGACAAGCGTAATTGAGTATGAGAGAGACGCTGCTGGGCTGGTCCAGCTGTGATCCATGGTGCTCTGAAGATGTGGCCAGGCGTCAGGCCCTCCGGGGTGGGCGTCAGGATAAATGTGTCAGCCCCACCCCTGCAGCAGGCTCACATCTCCATTCTCGTGTCTTTCAGATCAGATCTGACAAGGACAATGACATCCCCATTCGCTACAGCATCACAGGCGTGGGAGCAGACCAGCCCCCTATGGAGGTCTTCAGCATTGACTCCATGTCTGGCCGGATGTATGTCACTCGGCCCATGGACCGGGAGGAAAGAGCCTCTTACCATGTAAGTGTCCAAATATGGAGTATAGCAATAGCAGGTAGTCTATAGACTGCCCACCCTTCCACAGTGCTTCACACCCCTCCATGCTGTTGCCGGTGATCCTGCCCAAACACCCCTTGCGGGAGGGGGTGAGAAGACGCAGCACCAATGACTCGGGCACTGGGAGTCAGTGAATAGCAGAGCGTGCTGCAGACTCCTTTATTCAGGAAGTTAGACCTGCCTTTATGGCCCCTCCCAAGGTCCTATTGGCTCAGTCGGCTGACTGCTGCATTGTCCTTTCCTCATTGGTGTCTCTGGGTCAGGTGTCTCTCCTGGGTCAGCAGTCTCTAGGCGTAGAGGCAGGCTTGGCTCAGGGAGAAAGTGCCTGCCGCACATGCCCATGGTGCTGGCCTATGCACCCGGGGCAGGGCGACTGGGCTTGGGTAGGTTGGCCACAGTCTCTCCTCCACCATACCCTTCCACACCCTTGCACCCTGGTAGGGTGGCAGCAGCAAAGCACACTTCTGCCTGGCCACAGGGTCCTAAAGCACAGGTCAGACTTGCCCAGCAGAAGATCAAAGCCTGATTGCCAGGCCCAACCCCAGCACTTGCACGTCAGGCTGGGCTTTAAATCTGAACTTGTTCCCAGGTTAGACAATCTGCCTTTACACACTATCTCTCTGGGAGCCTCTAAGGCAAGGGCCATTCAGAAAGGAGGAAGAGGAAGAAAAGAGAGGTCTCAGCCTCCTTGCCTCCACTAGACTTGGACAAGACAGAGGCAGCCCAGGTTCTTCTCTCTGTGTCTCTGTCTCTGTCTCTCTCTTTGTCTCTCTGTCTCTGTCTCTCTGTCTCTCTCTCTCTCTCTCTCTCTCTCTCTCTCTCTCTCTCTCTCTCTCATGTGATGGCCAAGTGACACTGTGTCTAGTCCCCTGAGCTCTGGGCTAGCCAGGCCCAGTACTCCTCCTCTGTGAGCCTCAGGCAAGTCACTGAGACCACCCTGGACTCACCCTGGTCTCTCCCCGGCATGAAGAGATCTCAGCGGTGACATGGTTATGATGGCATCCACTCTACCCAGCGGATTGAACAGGGTGTGGTCAGGGTGTTGTGTGTGCCTGTGGCTAAATGCACAGATGTTGGATGCCCAGCACTTTGGCAATCATCCGAGAACAAAGGTAAACTCTCAGCTTCTGCCCCATGCTGTCAGATTAATTGCTGCAAGTTCTTGCTCGGGCTCTGTTCTGACGGAAGGATGACCCCGCTCCCGCGGTCTGATGGCCATTTGTTCGGGGTTGATCATCCAGCTCCACTCTCATGGGGGAGGCTCCATGTGCACAAGGATTTTGAGGTTGCCCACACTATCTCCTCAGACAAAGACACAGCCTGGCCCTGAAGTTGCTGCTGCCCATCTATGTAGAGAGGGGATTACAGGAGGTTGAGACTGTCACTGGCAACAGCGACCTTTTCAACAACTCCCAATGAGTCTTGAGGAGCAGGGTGCTCTGCTGAAGGGACTGACTGACAAGCAACCTCAGGAATGTGGTTTGTCCTTTCTGAGCTGTTTATAGTCCACAGAGCAGGAGCCTCTGCATGTCCCATGGCTTCTGTGGAAGAGCTGAGACACAAGAGTGATCCTGGTCAGGCTGAGAACCTGGTTTCAGCTCTCCAGATGCCCCTCTTCACAGACACTTCAAGAAAAAGCATGATCCTTCAGACACACCCCCACATACTCACTTCATGCCCCATCTGTCTGTCTGTCCATCCACTCACACTTACATACACACCCCATATACTCACCACCCTGTCACCCACCAATCCACCCAGACAAGTAAGTATCTTACTTCTTACTCATAAGCCTCTGCCCATCCAGCCGTCCACTTATCCATCCATCCGCCTGACCCTTCGCCTGTCCATGTGTGCATCCGTGTCCACCCATCTACCCATCTATTTACCTATCAACCAGCCCACCACCTACTCATCCATTCATCCCCCCAGTTGCTCATCCTAACCACACAGCCATCCTCCCACACAAGGGTTGTTTCTTGAGCATTCAACCTAAGTTGGTCCCTCTGTGAGGTGCTGGGAAAACAGAAATGACTGGAGTAGACAGGCCCAAGTTTTGGGGAATGCACCCAGTTCTAAGCTGAGAAACAGCTGAATCTTCATGGCCCTACTCTGCTGAGGAAGAGTGGTCTCCAGGTTTTCAGAACCAGACACAGGCTGTGGGAAGAAGCAGGGGTGATGCTGGCACCAACCGCGTCTCCCCATCTGTGCCAGGGATGCCATCTGAGCATCCCTGCTTTGCTTCTCACATAGCAGAGGCCAAGGTCAGGGAGAGGAACTGAGAAAATAAGCCATGTTGTTAGCTTGGGTGGAGAAAGAGATTCCCTCAGGAGCCCCAGTTGGAGAGTCGCTGTGTCCCTTTTGATCTGGAAGATGGTTTTGTTCACAGGCTGAACAATTGGAGGAAAGAGAATTGGAGCTGGTCTCTGCCCCAGACTTCATTTTGGGGGCTGCCAGGCTCTGTTTGTGACTGAGGCTTGGCTTAGGTGCAGAGGCTCAAGCAGGTGGCCGGAAATGTTCAGCTTGGCTGCTGGTTTCTACAAGAAGCGTCAGTGTCTCCCCCAGGGGCTCCCAGGGGCCCTGCCTCGCTCTGCGAAGTCCAGGTCACACTTGACAAGGCTATGACAAGGTCCACTCTGTCGGGCCACATTCCCACCCTTTCCAGCTGCCTCCTCTCCCCACCTCTTGTTCTCCTGCCCACCTCATGCACAAACCACTTCTAGAATATGTCTTTTGAAGACACCTGTGCCCACATCTGTGGAATTGAAGGCTGGGAGGAAGACAGAGCAGGCATAGCCCATCCCACTCGCCCTGTCTCTTTCCCTGGGTGGCAGATGACCTGGAGTCGGCACATCACTTCCTCATGGGCCTCAGAAGGAAGCCACTCACTGATTAAACCTACTTCTTCCAAGATTAGACAGATTCACTTTTAATTATCATGGTCTATAAGAGAAAGCCCCTGGGCTGAGGAGTTTCTGCTTGCTGCTTCCTCTCCTCCCTGAGGCCTTGACTTGAGGGCCCTATCAAGTCCTCTGATTTCCCACTGGAATGTTCTATCTGCCCTGTGCTCAGGACATATCCAAAATTGCTTTCAGCCTTCTGAGATATAGCAGCTATTGGCAGGCTGTCCTGGGCAGGAAACAGCTAGAGCTGGGCCTTCTTGGGCTCCCTTCCTCTGCATCTTCAATAATCTTCCTACTGAAAGAGTCAGGGGCTCAAAGTTTTCAGGCCTTTCACCTTCAGCCTGTGGTGATCAGTGTGCAGCTCACTCTGCTGTCCCCTGGCCCTGCCTGACATGTGTGTAGCACAGGCATAAAGCACTAGTCCTGGCATTAAGAGGAGGGTGGGCCTCTGGTCCAAAATATATCCTGCTCCAGAAGATACAGTCTCTGCCTTTCCAATGCTCCCCACAATCCAAGAGAGCCCACAACAGCTCCTCTGTCTTAAAAGGGTCACTCTGCACCTGAAACCATGCCCAAAGGGTGTAGCCACCACTACAAGTTCACTGACAAGACGAGATGCCACTACAATGAATTTCAAAATAATGAGACAAATCATACAAATTAGATGCCACACAATGAGCACAGAGTGTTTGTGACTTACAGCCGGGATGACATCACTTCTGCAGATACAAAAGCCCACAGATCTCCCCCCTTACTCTTGCCCAAGCCACAGCTCCCAACACAGCTACTTCAGTTACCTAGGGGAGAGAAGGCAGGCCCGTCCCTCCATGCACCTCCATAGCCACTTGGTGTCAAGAGCAGTCTGGAGCCAACAAGACACCTTGTGCTTGCCCTCCATCCTATGTGGAAGCTCTGAACTAAACACAGATCTGCATCAGGGTGACTCACCAGAGGATGAGCAGGCAACTGGGCCCAAAGACAGCACAGCAGGCCCCCAGGGTCCTGCTTGGACCTCCATCCGCCCCTCCCTGACAACCAGCTCTGGAGCCTCACACACCCTCTTCCGTCATGTACCTCTCCAGCCTATGAAGGCCCTGGCTCAGTGCTGCAGAAGTCCTGGCTGCAGGGACAGGGGCTTCCACACACTTCTCACGGTCTCAGCCCACCACACACTACCACTGTACACAATAGAACCAAGGACAGCATTCTGGATCTTAACCAACGCTGCTGGTTCCCAAGATGGGCTTCAGTGGACATTCAACACACCTCTCCACCAGGCACAGCATGTGCCCCTAGGAGCCACTGAAGAGATGAAAGGACAGACTTAGGGAGAGACAGACAGGAGGTGCAGACAGAAACATGCAAAGAAAGACAAAGAGACAAACAGGGGAGACACACAGAAATAAACAGAAACAGACAGTAAGACAGACAGAGGAGAGATGGGATAAGAAACAGAATGAGCCAGTCATTGTTGGCACATGCCTTTAATCCCAGCACTCAGGAGGCAGAGGCAGGAGGATCTCTGTGAGTTTGAGGCCAGCCTGGTCTACAGGGTGAGTTCCAGGACAGGCTCCAAAGCTACAGAGAAACCCTGTCTCAAAAAAGAAAAAAAGAGAGAGGGGAGAGAGAGCGGGAGAGAGAGAGAGAGAGAGAGAGAGAAAGAGAGAGAGAGAGAGAGAATGACACAGAGACAAAGAGACAGAAACAGAGAGAGACTGAGATATAGCAGGAGGAAGCCCTGAGAATGGGGCATAGTGTCAGCATGGACCTCCACCATGGTCACAGTGTCTGAGCCTCTAAGCCAAGCACTGTTACACATGTCCCTTCTGCCTCTCACCACAGTTCCGAGACTCCAAGGGTTTATCCCAGCTCTGAAAATAAAACAACGCCATCGTACTGCCTCACCAGCTGGTACTGGAGCCTCCTGCGTAGGCCTCCGAGGTGCAAGCATCATGGCATATCGTTTTCACCTCCTCACTTCCTGTCTTCTGAGTGAGGAGCAGCGAGCAAGGCCCTGGGTCTCAGGGCCAGAAATGACAGGACCTAAACGAGGAGGACAGAGAACCAGTCACAAACTGAGGGTGAAAACCTCACATTCCCTTACTTCATCCCATGAAGTGGAGCCCCGGGGGCTCTCGTGAGGAAGCTGTCCTCCCCCAACAGACAGACTGCCTCTTCTTTCTCTGTGTCCCTACCCAGTTGTGATGAGGGGCATCAAAGGCACTGGGTCTGCTCTGTCTCCAGTCTAAGGTCCAGCACAGCACCTACTGCTTGTGGACCCTGTGTAGGCACAGAAGGAATAAAAGAGTGGATGGAGCCCCTTCTCAGCCTCTCTCTGTCTGTCTCTGTGTGTGTCTCTGTGTGTGTGTCTCTCTCTCTTTCTCTCTGTCTCTGTGTCTCTCTGTCTCTGTGTTTCTCTCTCTGTCTCTCTCCCTGTCTCTCTCTGTCTCTCTGTCTCTCTCCCTGTCTCTCTCTGTCTCTCTGTCTCTCTTCTCTCTCTCTCTCTCTCTCTCTCTCTCTCTCTCTCTCTCCTCCTCACTGTGCAAGACCCAACAACGCCCCAAGCAGAAGCAGATGGGCCTGAGCTTGTGTTTGTGGGCTCATTGTAGACATCTAAATCAGCATCTTCTCCCGGGGCTTGTTCAGGCCTCTCTGTGTACCTCATGAAGATCTCTCCCAGGCCCTTCCCTGAGTTAACCTCTCAGGAGGAGGCACCTAAGCCCCGCTGTCCCACTGGGCACAAGTGGCCCGGCTGCAAGCACTTTGAGAAGACATAAAATCTGTCCAGCCCAGGCAGGTGAAGACATCATCAGTCAGACCCACGGGATCCAGGTGACCTTGGCAGCACAGACAGAGGGTGTTGCCCTGTTTCTGCCCACATGACCCGCATCTGCACAGAGGGGTCAATCTAGCCTGAGCCCTGCCCAGGTTGCCTTTGCCTCTTTCCCCAGGGAGCTGGGAGCTGTTGTGCTACCCCAGTGCTGTGAGTCCCCAGGGAACCACACACACACACCAGAGACAAGCACACTCCTGAATACGGCTGCCAGCTCTGACATGTCTGTTTCTCCGCAGCTCCGAGCCCATGCGGTGGATATGAATGGCAACAAGGTGGAGAATCCTATCGATTTGTATATCTATGTCATCGACATGAATGACAACCGCCCTGAGTTCATCAACCAGGTCTACAATGGCTCCGTGGATGAGGGCTCCAAGCCAGGTGAGGCTCAGTAGATGTGTTGACATTTGCTTCTTGGGGATCCCACACACTCTACAGGACCCATCCTGGGGCTGGCACTGTTAATACCTAACACTGCCCAAGTCTTTATAACTCCCATCCTCACACACCTCAGGGTATCATGAGGCTGCAGAGAGTGAGCACTGTAGCAACAGTGAATAAGCCTAATGGAGCTCAAACCTTGGGTACAGGAGGAGAAGGAAAGAGGCGACTCTCATGAACGATGGACCCTAGGCAAGGGAGCAAAGGTTTTACCAGGCTAGAATTGACAAGAGAGTTTTAAGAAAGAATAGACATGGAGGACAGAAAGACAGTGGATGAATGGACAGACTCCTGAGGAGTGGGGACATTTTATAATTTTACCTGGCCACAGGTCATCTGCTTGGGGTCATATCTGAATAGGTAAGAGGAGTCTGTTCACTATCGTGTAGTAAATGTTTGGGGGGGGTGAGTGTGAATGTTGGTTACATGTGTGTGAGTACGCATGTAAGAGTGCATATATGGAGGCCAGAGGTTAACCTTGGGTGTTGTTCTTCAAGTTATCATCCACCCTGCTTTCTGCGACAGGGTCTCACTCATCTGGGAGTCTCCGCATCAGCTAGGCTGTCTGGCCAGCAAGCCCCAGGGTTTGTCTGTCTGTGCCTCTCCAGCCCTGGGATTTTTGCATGTGCCCTGTGCCTGGCTTTTTAACATGGGTTCTAGAAGTCGGACGCAGGTCCTTGTGCCTGCAGACAGCTGAACCACCTCCCCTCAAGGTTGTAAACTGTGTAACATCACTTGTCCTCCACAAAGCCAGCCGTCTGGGCTGAGCCCAGGAGTCACTGGGAGTAAGGCTCTAATTGTTTTTACCCTGGGTCAGGCTCCAAGGATTTAGGCTTGGATTGTTAGAGCAGATTTGTGCTTTGGCCTCTGGTCTTTTTGTCTCTATGGCAACATGTAGGCTAGGAGCTGAGGTGCAGGAGAAGGGCTCCATGTGATGGAAAAGAACCTAGGAAAGGAAGAAGCTGTGCCAACCTGAGTCAGGAAACCAGGCCAGAGACCAAGGCCCGCCAAACAAGACAGACCCTCCTCCCAGCCCAGAGGGTGAGCCCCTGTGTCAAGGCCCTCTGTCCTGCAAAGAGCTGACCCAAGAGCCTGTCTTCCCACAGACCTGTAGGACACAATACCTCTGCATTCCACAGCTACTGACAAGTAGGTGGTGTGTCACTCACCATTTAGCAGTAAGGTCACTTTAGGCCCAGGCAGCTATGTATGGGAGTCACAGCACAGGTACCCACATTCCATACCCTGCTGGAGGCCTTTCTAGAGGTGCAGAGTGCTAGCTGCCCCACACCTAATAGGCCCACTGGCTGGGTCTCTCCAGGAGATGTCAGCCTAGGGGTTAACAAATCCCTGTGTGATCCCACTAAGCTGTCTCCTGCACTGAGGGCTCAGAGGACCTCCTTGGACAAGCTTTCCCCGGGGAAGGGTAGGATGGATGAGGCCCATGGAAGCCTCTGCCGAAGGTACCAGGCATAGCCATTTGAAACCCATGATACCTGGGTAAGCTTGAAGTTCAGACAGACAGCAAGCCACTCCACATGGGTATCTCAGACATATTAAAATGTTTCCCTCATCATTTACCTAGTGTCCTGCACTTTTTCCCAGCCCTGGTGCTCTGCAGAATACCGGGAAATTGGAGGCAGTTTCTTCTTGGAAATGTGGTGTAAACAGAGGCTGGGCAAGCTGTCCTCCAAGAAGCCACCTGCTCCCCCCAACCCCCCCCACCCCACTCTATGGGCCCCGTGAGGGGTCAGTCTCATCTGGCTAGGGCAGGAGGGCAAATATTTATCACACTCTCCTGTGCTGGTGGAGGTTGTCATTGCTCCATCTCTGGGGACTGCTGTTTCAACAAGGTGATTGCATTTTGGAATGTTTGTCTTTCACGATGGTGAGACAATGGCGAGCCTGGTGTCACCGCAGGGAACAGGATATAACATTATTTCTGTGGAACCTTAGGCAGCTCATCCCAAGGCAGTCCCTTGAGGGTCAGGGGCAAGCAGTGGGCGGGCAAATTAGCTACAAGCCACCGGAGAAAATGAATGAGGGCAGTCAAGGGCACCTCTTGGAAGGGTTGGGGGGAGACACAAGCATTGCTGGGGTGTGTTCACCTTAGCGTAGAGGCAGGAGGCCTGTCGTCCAAGACCTAGGGCTTATCTAAATGTCTTCTCATAAATCAGGCTTCCCACACCTTCTTTTAAAGCAAACAGAAAAAATAGTGGTAATAAAACCAGCATGTATAGCTGCCCTTGACTCATTAGGGGAACAAAAGCAGCAGCATGCCATACCCCCTCTCTGAAAGTCTCAGAAAGCCCCATAAGCCATTGGGCCTGCAGACCCCACAGTGAGTCATTCCCAGAGCTGGCCAGGCAAGGGGAGAAGGGGAGCCATCACAGATCTGAACCCTGCTCTCAGGCCACTCACAACAAGCTTTCCAAAGACTGTGTGTAAGTGCTGAGTGGCTGAGACTGCAGAATCTGTCTCTGGTCCCTGGAGCAGTCTTGCGTTCAGACCAACTATGGGATGAGGCCCGATGATGTCACGTGAAACTGGCATGTCCCTCCTCCCCAGACCCCAGGCAGGTGTGAGGTTGCAGCATCCCTTCCTGTAGCACAGTCCCTGGGCCCTGCAATTGTCTGCAATTTCTTCTCCTCCACCAGTAAATTATAATAATGGAAGGGTCTTTGTAGGAGAAAGGAAAACTACTGCCGGAAATTAGTCATTATTCCCTGGAAAGATGGGCTAATGAGAGGTTTCGGATGTGTGTCCTAACGGGAAACAAATGGGGAGGATTAAATATTGACTACGCTGTCAGAGGACATTACAGGCAGGGTTCATTAGGGGCACTCATGAGTAGCCTGGGGTCCGGCCCAACCTGCACTCACCTCACTTCCCCTCCACAACCCGGTAGTCCCTCAATTGCAGGAATTCACTAGAAATGTATTTTTGTCCGAATAACGGGCTCTTTGGGAACATATCTATTCACGTGTGGCAGTGAGAATACAGCCAGCCACCCCAGCCGGCTCCCACAGGAGGATGGGCCAGGCCAGCACACGGGCATCGGTGAAGACACAGCCATGTCACTGGAACTCCCTGTGTGTCTAGGTGTCTGCGTGTCTGTCTGTGCCTGTATGTATCTATATTTCTGTGTGTATACATCTGTCTGTGTCTAGCTGTTTGTCTGTGTGTGTGTGTATCTGTGCCTGTCTGTGTTTGTATGTGAGCCTATGCATGTGTGTCTAGGTATTTCTATGTGTGTATCTGTGCGTGTCGATGTTTGTATATAAGCCTGTTCATGTGTGTCTAGGTATTTGTATCTTTCTGTGTGGTGTGTGTGTGTGTGTGTGTGTGTGTGTGTGTGTCTGTGTGTCTGTGTGGCTGTGTGTGGCTGTGTTTGAATATGAGCCTATGCATGTGTGTGTATGTGTATCCCTGAGTGTCTGCGTGTCCAGCTGTTTGTGTCTATGCATCTGTTTCTATGCAGTTTTGCCACACGTGTGACTCCATGACCCCTGCCATCAAGATACAAAAGACCTATGATGATGTAAATGTTAACTGCCCTCCATGGGCTCATGGAACCTTTGGAATATGGAGCCTGTGGGAGGAAGTGGATCACTGAGGAGCAGCCTTGTGGCTTGATAATCCAATCCCAATTCCTGTCTGCTCCCTGCTTCCTGTTTCATCAAGATACAAGGAAGGCAGGAGTCCCAGCGTCACTCCTTCCTCCCGGGGGCCTCCTGCTGCCATTCTGGCCCCCAATGTGAGCTAAAGTAAACCCCTCTTCCTGACAGACCCTATCAGAGGACTCCTTCCACTGCCCTTTTGTGGACAAATCCCCTTTCCCCACCCCACACCCACCCCTCCCTCACCCTGGCAAGCTCTGTCCTGCCTTGTCTTTTCAAAATACTGTATGGATGGAACCTCAGGATCTCTGGGCTGGCACTTTCACTCAGCGCCAGGCTCTGGAGGTTCATCCTGGCCATCACAGGGGTCCCAGGACAGAGATATAAGCAACAGACATGCCACAGTTTACTAGCTGGCTGCCCTCTGAGAAGTGCCAGAGTGATTTCCAGCTTGGGGCCGTCACAGATGAAGCTGCTAAGAGGAAACACTTACGTTGCAGGGGTTTCTTGTCCTGCCAGGTCCCACAGCCACTTCAACCCCAAATAAGCACACAGAGACATATTAATTATTAAACTGTTGGCCGATGACTAGAGTTTCTTACTGGCTAGCTCTCTCTTAATCATTAACCTGTTTCTATTAATTTATGTATTTCCGCATAGTCTTGACTTACTGGAGAATGCAGGGACCTGTTACTCCTTTAGCCTCTCTCTGTGGTCTCCCTCTGCCTACCTTTCCCAGAATCCTCCTCGTCTCCTAGCCCCACCTGTCTTCCTGCCTCTATTGGCCAAACAGTGTTTTATTCATCAACCAATAAGAGAAACACATATACAGGAGGACGTCCCCATCACACATATGTAGAATGTTTGAGAACATTCTACAGCTTCATTTCTCTGGGATGAAGGTCCATAAATGCAGGTCCATCTCAGACCTCGTTGTGGCTCCCATCTCTGTGACAAAGCCTCTGAGACAATCACCTTAAATGGAGGGAAGGTTTGTCTGGGCTCACCATTTCAGGACCATTTCAGGGGGTTCAGCCCATGCTTGGCTGGCTCCAAGGCTGGGGTGACGCTGAAAGGTTGTGTCAGAGAATGGCAGAGGGATAACACTCACCTCCCAGCAACTGGGAACAGAGGTCAGGCAGAAGAATACACCCCTCCAGCACACCCCAGTGGCATTCTTCCTCCAGTCAGACCCCACCTCTGGTTCCAGCCACCGCCACCGACACTAATAACTAAGCCTTCAGCCAGGAGCTCACCAGGGAATGTTTCCGCTGGGTGACTCAAAACCTTTCTGATCTGATGGCCTCTCAATGACCAGAT